CTAACCTTTTGGAAAACAGTATATATATATTTTTTTGACAATTGCTTTTTTATTCCCTTCCTTCCTAATAGTTACTTTTACACATGCGCATTAAGAATAAAATAGCATCGTTTACTTATGTTAATGTTACAGTTTTGAATTCATGTATTCCACCTTTTTTCTTCTTTGTCACTCCCCTTTAATCATACCTGAGCTAACTAAGAAAGACTCTGTCGCACTGCAAAGAGCACTGATAGCTGTCAGTAAAGCGAGTGGGATACCACAAAACCAACTTATTATCGCTGTTGTAAGAAGATACTTAAAGTCATGAAACAACTGGTGAATATCATCTTGTCACGCTCTGAACATCCTCATCATCTTGCACATCTCTCTCCTCAGATCCCATCAAAGGGGTGAACTAGAAGCATCTATAGGAGACTATATGGTGGGAAGACTAAGTATGATGAGTAGGGTGTTAGATATGAAAGTATTAACTAAGCATGAAACACTAAGTGAAGGGTACTGTTTATTCTTTCTTTCACTAATATATTGTCGTGAGTATTTCTGCCTAATTTTCATTTTACATTCATATTCTTATTTAACAATATTATCTGTGTAAGTACCCTGTTTAATTATTACTCCTGTATTATGTAATGAGAAAATTAAATACAATATTGTATACATCTTAGACATTTCATATTTGTATCACAGGTAATGTTTTGCAAAATACTAATATTATTGTTGCTCTTATTAAGACAATAGGGGTGATGTTTAAAGAGGAATTAAAAGAACTGGGAATGAAGAATGAAGCTTAATATGGGCAAAAAAATATTAATATATGAGCAATCAAAGTTAACTATTACGTCATGGTTTAATTACCAAGATGTGACTGTTTGATACATTCAAAAAGAATACATACATATATATATATATATATACTTAGAAAAGCATTCATTAGGGCGTATAACTTTTCCTTTAACCACTTAATTTTACCACGCTATGTTAGAATAACAATAAACACAACAGTCATTCTCATATTAATTTAAGAGTGAGGTATAAACATTAATGTAAGCTTTGATTTAATTAGTTCGATAGTTGGTGAGTAAAAGGGAATCTAGGATGTTCATCTGATCTTATTTGGTGCTCATCATATGGATGTACCTGCATTCCTAGTGTGTGATAGTGTTTCCACTAAGGCTTGAACCAAGTACCCGTCATTTCAAATGCCAAAACGTTGTCTACTGAACCATTTGGGCAACAAGAAACACCTCTTGTGCGACAAGAAGATCTAAATTTACTTAAAAGCGAATAATAAATGATGCCCATCACACAAGAAGTGGCTCTTATTGCCTATATGATTGAGGGGATATGGCCTTGTGGTCTGGAACGATGAGTATTGGATTCAAGTCTCGGTGGGAATACCATCAATCATTTAAGAATACAGGTGCATTGGACTGAAGAGTCTCGAAAAGGACGAAACACACTGTGGGTTCTACTACCAGTCATCATTCACCAAACTGCTTCAAGTTAATTCTCAGACATCTTCGAAGAGTTTATATTATGAGCAGACATGTTAGTAGAAACAAACACAACTGTGATTTAATTTAAGTTTTGCTTTTTGATATGGTGTTATAAGGATTCTTTTTTTAATTAAATGACCTTTCTGGGGGGATTTAAAGTCGCGATCTTATAGAAATTATACAGAACACATCTTTAAAAATAGATTCGATCAGTAGTGTTATTCTTTGCCTACATATCAATGTTGCATGAGCTATGAAATACATAAGTTAATGTGAAACAATCTTCTTTGTTGGTCTACAAACAGACCAGAAATTTACTTTCCAAGCAATGATATTCTGAAGCTTTCTCTCTTTTCAGAAATGCTACTGATGAAATTTCATAGAACAGGAAATTAACAAACAAAATTTCTCGTGTAGATTTCACGTCAGATCGAAATCAGTCAGAAAGTCAAGAAGCACCTTTCACACAATTACATGTACTTAGGGCCTATCATACATGGTCTGCAGTCTACACGGGATCAAAAAGAGGCTGGTTTATTTGCCAGATGACTACATTGACATTCATTAGTCGGCTTGGAATCAAAATAGTGCACGAATGCTAACTTCTGTCCATTCAAATACGCCTTATTTCGCCCATTCAGAAAGCAATGCAGGTTTGACTACTCCATAGTTCTTAGCGGTTCCCCAGATGATACCAATTGGTGACGAAATCTACTTTGAAGTCAAATGAATTCCTAAAATCGCCGAATCTGAAGAAAAAATCTAATGTTTTATTATCCATACCGTGCGTTTTATATCAATTCTAGAAGCTTTTATTTCCCAGTAAAATCCTCTTTCAACTAAATGATAACGAGAATGTCATGGAATCTAACAGTATAGGTCTCGACAACGTAAGAGGATATGAGTGAGAAGATTTCTACCTTCAATAGATTATGCTTATTAGAGCTACAAAGAAGATATAATAAGTCTTCCATCCTTTCATGGGATAATTAACTATTTTATAGTCACTTTCGTGCAAAGTAAAACGTATAGTCTGTAGTAATTAACATTTCTGAAAACGATAGAATATTTCCCTATGACAAACTCCCATTTGTTATTTTTTCTGTTTGAAAAGAATTTCTATATCTCCAAGTGTTAATTTGTAGGGATTTGGTTGGATTAAGTTTCGATCACGAACTGATGCCAGTTAGAGTAGTATTGAAAACCAAGGATTACTGGACATCTGTTTCGTCCTAGTTTTGGACTCTTCACAGTAAGCATCCATCACCAGGGGTCGAACACAGGACCTTCTGGGACCCGATCCCACTAGCTGGAAGTGGTCGTGCTATATCATGAGTTAGTAAAAGTTTGAATTCATGGGCAAGCCATTGGATTGGGTCCCAGCGGCTTAATGATCTACGAGATAGCTAGCCCTGTAACAAGGAGGTCCTGGGTTCAAACCTTGGAGATGGGTGCGTACTGATGAGCAGTCGCAAACTAGAACGAAATAGCTGTCCAGTACTCCAGTGTTGGTTTTCCAATCGTTCTCTAACCGACGTCAGTTCATGATGAAATCCTCCAACGAAAAATAAATTGATTAATATTTGTTTTATACTTTCTGATTACAATCAGTATTATCTGGGAGAGGTCTCCATTTGGTGTATTTTACCGAAATTTGAGAAATAGCAATCTGTTTTCTCATCTTAATCACTTTGATGTCAAACTTAATCCCCCTCATCGGTAAACTAAATATAACGTGTAACTGAAAACTGGGAAAATTAACTAGTTAAGTTATGATAGCTGCATACTGTATAAGTTAATTTTTTTAAACACTAATAATAGAATTAAATCGCCATGTTTGTGGGGAATAGATTGACTATAAGAAAGATTATGCCGAAAAATGACAGTATAACGCTGAAAAAACTAATCTACTACTTGTGATAAACCGACTACAGGACAGGTTATCTGAAGTAGTAATGAGAAGTCTTATCTGAATAGATTCATGATATTCGGTCGGATAAGAGTTACTGATAACATACAGTGATCATGGTGCTATATCGAGAATTATGAGAAGAGTGGATTTCCACTCAGTTACTGAATGGCTATATCCCCTTCTTGTAATCTCAAAATTGTGAGTTAAACCTGTAATAGCAGCAGAACTGAAATCTGCAGGAGATACTTGAAGTAGGACGAAATAGCTGTCTAGTGCTTCCCACTTTCAGTGAATTTCTAGGGATTTTGCTTCATAATAATGATTTTATCTGCTCTCATTGGTGGTTTATGCTCACAACAACCCGCTAAGTAGGAAGTCAAGCTACACAAATATTAACTGATTCCATGATGGGTAAATTTTTGTTTTGATAAAGTCTCACAGTGTTATACAGTAATGTTTACTGATGACGTTTCTGTATAACACTGTGAGACTTTATCAAAACAAAAATTTACCCATAATGCAATTATACTTTACCAAAGTGCACAAGTTTTATTCTTATATCAAATATTAAGTGAGTAATACGAAATATTAGTTATATCATACGTAACCCGAGATTTTGTAGACTACAGTTTACGATCACAGTTGGTGCTAAATACAAAAACATCACAAAAAAACAGCTTTTTCACTTAATATGGAGCATAAATCTTCAATGATGAAGAATAATGGTTAATGCTATCCAAAGCTTTATTATCCTAATAAGTTTACTATTCCAACTGAAGCTCTGTTAGTTTAGTGTATTTTAAGGTATATATATTTTAAAACAGACACTTGTAAGGCAAAAGAGTTTGAAACATTTTCAACTGTGCGTCTAAATTTTACTTAAATTAACTTACCATATCTATAACAATATACTACATGGTAGTATACCTCATTGCTTTAAGTTCCTAGCCATCAAATAGTGTTTTCCGGGTTCCAGCCTATTTTCATCTCACCAGCTGGTTAGTGTTGTAAATTCTCGGTGACAATCAAGCGGAATTAATAGACAAGTTCAAAAAGCCATACACCTTTACTGATTTACAAAATAAACATAGTATTAAAGCTTGGAAAATGAATTTAAATAATTCTGTATAATTATAGGCAATAAACTGTTTTAGAGACAAAATTATGAATAATATTACACTACTGTATGCATATGCAAAAAATTATTCCTGTAAACATCATATTCACGTCATTCTAAACCTATCTCTGATCTGTCAGTGATTCGGGAATATGAGGCCTTTCAGCCACACACACAGGGTCCAGGTTCAATTCCCAGCCGATGTACTTCTAAATTTTGCCTAACTAGTTGTAGTCTTTGAAAAGAGGGAAAGTTGGACGTAAGGTTATCAACCTCTGTGTTTGTATGTGTGCGTATATATGTTGAAACAACACCATCGCCTCTGAAACTTGAAAGCTTGAAAGTCTTTGTTCTACTTGGAATGCAAGTAACTGGGGGAAAAAAATCCTATCTCCTCTATTTATGAACACGTAGAATAAACACTAACAAGAAAAAACATTATGCAATCAACAGTGAAACATATTCAACTGACCCGATATGATTTATCTTCATCAGGATAAATTACATTTTCTATAATCAAAGATTTCATACTATTTAGTGGATGTTTTTGTCGGATTATGTCATTCTCTTCATGTAACAGGACTCGATCAGCATCACCATGATTATTAATCCATCCTGTAGTTGCAGTAGTAGTGGTAGTAGTTGAAGAAGTATATAAATTCTCCCCAGTATTACACTGTTGTTCAGTTCTAACATCTTCTTTTCCAGAATTGTTCAGATCATCCCGATGATGATAACCTTCATGGTATTGATTATTATATTCAAAATCATGCGGCTGATTTAATGATTTAATAATCAGTGAGTTTTCTTCATATTCTCCTCCGCTTCTCTCTTGAGTCGCATTCTGTTTGCATTCATTTCTTTTAATCAAACACCCCTTTTTCATAGGATTTGTACAAGTGTGATTATTAATATTACTGATACGGTTGTCACCTGCTGAAATGCAATAATGTTTAAAATGTTTTTTCAAATTTACTAATGGTGATTTATTACAGTTATTATTATTAATATTATTTAGGGGATCATTCATGAATGATGTTGTACTGAATGTAAAAGCGGTTAATTTTGTTAATGGACTTTTGTTATCATTGAGTTGATCATTTTGCTCTATGGAATATTGCGGTGGACAATGTTGTTGAGGACAATGATTGTGACTTCGATGTATGGTATGGTTAGGATCACAGTGTATGAGATGATTATTATACCTAAGTTGATGCTGTTGTTGTTGTTGTTGTTGGGGATTTTGATGATGATGGTGGCGATGATGATGATGATGGTGACAATGATGCCGGTTATCTAAATCAACTGACTGAACAGTTAACATAACTCCCTTTTTTCAAACGTTTATTAATACTATAATAATTATTATTATTACTTATACTGCCTGTCCAAAAATTCGTTAGCTAAGAAGTCAAGTGAATAGTATTACGATAAAATGGATAAAAGCTTTCACATGTAAGTTTATCGGAACTTTAAAGATATAATTCGCGGGTTTCTCTCCTTCTTCTTTGTGTTATCCTCTATCTTGTCTATCTTTCTCACATTTAGCATCCTGTGCGTTTTTTCCAATGTACATACACTAAATAAATTATTTGGGAAGAAAAATTAGAAACGAATAGCTTTTTGATTGGCTAGCCAACTTTAGTTAACCAATGAAATTTCACAGCGTTTAATAAGGATGTGAAATATAATCTGGTTTTACTCACATTTTCTTGTTCTTCGACTAAAATAATTCTTTTTATTTATTAGTTACAGGTTTTCCTCATGAGATGATATCGGTTAGAGAACCATGGGGAAAAGCTACAAGGAGTACAGGACAGCTGTTTCGTCCAAGTTTGCGACTCCTCATCAGTACTCACTCACCCACCCCTGGATGGGTCGAACTCAGAACCTTCTGGTTACAAGGCTAGCGAGCATGTAGACCATTAAGTCACTGGGACGCAATCTAATGATCGGTCCATGAATTCCAACTTCTACCAATTAGGCAAAGTGAATTGTTTTTTTTATTTGTATTTCTTTATTAAAAAAAGAAGCAAATTGTGCTTCCAATTTAAGTAAATTAAAAATCTTCAATTAAGTCATATAAAAGTAAAAGGCATTCAGCGAAGAGTTACACTCTTCAGTTGTCGGAGGGTATCTGTTAATTTTGGTTCGGTTTGCTATTTTCTGGAGGCTTTTGCTTATAGCTTGCTGACTGAAAGATAAGTAATACATTTTCTTGCAATTCTAATATTTCAATGTAATAAACTCCCTTTTTTATGAAAGATTTTTTTGTATTTCCCTATGAATACCATACACAAATTGCCCATTTTCTATGATACTCTTACTAACTAACAAATAGTAATATGTGTTTATCATGAGTTTTACTGAAGTATTTCAGGATATTATAGGTCTATTTACAGTTTGTGTCAAGTTTTCAAAAGGCTATCTTGTTTAAATGAATATGTGATCCTAGATCATTTCAAGCCATTTTCAGATAGAACTGAGCTTAAAAAGCTCTGGCATTGTTTTTGATAGGTGACATTCAATTAGCACCAGCAAGGGATTAGCTGAGAAGAAAATACAGACTCGCATCCGTGTGTGTTCTAGGTTTTCTGATCAAATATCCATGTATTAGATGTTATAACATTCAAACTACCTAGTCTATAGGGCTGGAAAATCTGAGAACATATTAAAATAGAAACTTCATTTTGAGATTTTCCTCTCTGCCTATTTTTATTCTTAAGGAAGGACTGGTAATGCTTAAATTTATAAAAATAACATGTCTGACTTTTTACGAGTTGATCACGGACTGATATCAGTTAAAGAACCATTGAATACCAGGGAGTACTGGACAGCTGCTGTTTCATCCTAGTTTTGGAACCTTCGGCAGTACGCACCCACTGGGATTCGAACCCAGGACCTTTCGGTTACAAGGCAAGCTGACTCGTATACCATTCAGCCACTGGGACCCAATTAATGGCTCATGAATTCTATCTGACTTTTAGCTGAACAAAACGTTGGAATTAAGCATTTCAATTTCGCTGAGATTTTACAAATATAATTTCATAAATGTCTACTTCTCACTCGGTGCTCAATTATTTTGCTACTATCCGGTCAAATCTTGATCACAGTTCATATGAAAGCAATACCTGTTATACAAATCATTACTCCATTTGACGTTTAATTTTGTCTTCATTAGTTTAAGGGAAATTATCACTGAAACAGAATGAATACTTTTGAAGAACTTTTCAAACTTGGGAAATGGATTTGCATATAAGTACATTTCCTATGAGGTGGTCGTAAACCGTGATAAATCTTTATTCTTTTTCGAAGAAACACAGTCGATCAAACAGAAAACCATATACAACTCTGGTGTCGAATGCGGATTTCAGCAAATTCTACTGATGAATATTATAAGGTAAAAGTTTCAAGTTCTTCTTATGACTACCGAGAAAGTAGTTTCACTTCCAAGCGGGACTCAATATTCCAAAACATTTTATCAAATCTTCAGGTGAAAATTCTGCTTTTGCTAACTCTTTCTTAGTACCCTACTTAGCTCGTGTTCTGTGCAATAAAGAAAGCATTAGGCGTGATACCTATAACTTATTAAATAGTCAGTAGAACAACTGGATCTCGTCTCTCCAACTCATATCATTTATAGGCACAAGGTTTTCTTTCTTTCTTTTCCTTTTCTCTTTTTTCTATTATGTGCTGCTTTGTTTCTTTCTTTCTTACAAACTGTATTTAAGACATTCTTCCTCGTTGTTTCACACTCTGTATGTCTCGACCTTTTTGTTACCGCATCTACTTTTCTAACACCTTCAAACATTCTGTTCACTTTTGGCTTTGCTACCGACATGCCAATATGTTGTTGTCAAAACTAATCGAGATTACCCTTAATCTATGTATAATTTTATTTATTGTTAATGTGCTAAGTGGATGCAGTACTGTAGAAAAATGCTTAGAATTCCATTCTGTATCACAAGTACTGTTTTGGAATAAAGCAAATTATTATTATTATTAAAGAAGTTTCAAGACTTTGAGGTTACTCTAAACTGGAAATTTCGCAGTCACTCCAAATTTATGTTTGTGATACCGACTGGTAGTTGGGATCGAAGATTGCTTTGACTTAAAAGACTATTTTTTTATAGCTATACAGAATCACTTCTGACTGCCTTCGTATAAGTCATCTTCGTGCAGTACGATTTAAGTCTTTAGGACACTTATGAATAAGTATCAGGTTACTTATTTCAGAACTCACATTCTTTCTGAATATAAGGTAGTGAAATATTAATTTATGCTTTTAGTGTTAGTCGTATGATGACTGGATTCATGCTGTCTATGAAATTATTCTGGGCAAAGTAGACTATTTCCACAAATAGTCACTTTTAGGTAATTTTCGAATCTCATTTAGTTAATTAATTCCATCCGCTCCGAATGTTTTATTTTCCATCTTTAGGTTTCAAACTGTAATGATAGTTGAATTATGTTGTGCTGTTGGACTATGTATTTTGTTAGGTTATAACTCTAGAAGATTTTCAGATAGCTGATTCACAGGATCACCTGAAGCGTTTGTTTTGCTCGTTCCCTTAATCATCCTTATAAGAACAGATCAAAAGATCCATCATTCCCTACGTATGATTTATGATTTAATGAACCGATTTGTGTGTACTAGAATATCTGAGATAGCCTGGCTAGGGTAGGCTAATCCTTATGTCACATAGAAAAGCTGAAGTTAATTTAAATTCTATCATGGCGAAAGAAGCATTATATTTAAACGTTAATTAATAATAGTTATAATAATTACTTATTCAGTAATACAATATATTGAAACATTGATCAATTCATAACTTTGACTTACCTGTAAATCATTCTACTTACTTTCGTAATCTGTCTTAAAAATCATTCACGTTGCTTAATGCTTTAAGCAATAAACTCAAACCAAAAAGAAATATTCTCACGAAATAATAAAAGTGATGAACAGGCAGAATTCAAGTGAAACTGTTGAATTCAATCGAATTCTGTGTATTAAATCCTAAAGTAACGCGGTGTAGTCCAGTTGATTTAGGTCTACATTTTATGTGTTGCACATTTCTGTACCTTATCTAGTAATCATTTTTTAATGACTACTCTTCAATGATACTTTTTAACCAATAAGATGAAATTATGTCATTCTGTTGCTCAGAAGCCAGAACTGATAATGATCAGAAAAGTAAAGTGTATGCATATGTGTGGTAAACTATTAATTGTATTTATAATTACCAGTTAGTGTTTGAATAATTCCTCACTAATTTATCTTCCATTATCCCAAACTTAATGACATTCTGTACATTCTAGGTACCAACACATCAGGTGTGTGTGCTTTTCTAATTCATTTATAATAATGAGACTATCTCAACTAGTCACTATACCCCGATAGGTGAAAATCAGTCTATGTTTGTTCTTTTTCATCTTAAAGGATTATGAGAGGAAATAATTAATGATCATTATGTTTGCCTGTTGTAATTAATTAATTAATTCTTAATTATGGAATGGTAGGCAGGCTTCTTATTACACCTGTCTCCACTACTTGACATGTGGCACGATCATATAGCTGTTGAATGACATTTATAAATGTTTACAGCATCGCACTTCGTAGTGTTGAAGCGTCTGCCAAACTGCTGACGGTCGACACTGTCGAAAATCTGTCAATGTAGGCTCTGTTCAATGATGATGATGCATAGTTTTGCAATCTTATCTGCGAATGAATTGTTTTCCTGAATTCAGCTTGTTCCGAACAAAGTTTCCCATCTACAGTATCTTTAAATGGTTCCAGGATGATGTGGCTTATTGTTTTCCTCGGAATCGGAAAAAGCATAATTCTATATCATTTCTTTAAAAGACTTAAGTCATCCTTCTTCGGTAATTTTATGAGGTAACTCTTCTTCAGATGAGCAGGTTCTTTTCTTTCTTTCTACACTTTCTGTAATAGTGGCGGGGTGATATTCTCTCGGGTCCGTTTCCAGTGCATCCGGAGGAATTCCATTTAATCTTGATGCCTTCCCGGCCGTCTTTCAGTAGTTTGATGATAATCTCATTATAGGGGTGGTGTTCATCGGTGGATCTGTGTCTGCTGGAGGTGGTGACATTAGTGAACGATTTGTAGCTTGTGGTTAATTCAAGAATTCTCAGTCGAGCCTTTGCTCTCTTCCAACTCTTCAGTAACTAAGTTTCCCGTAATATCCTCCACGGGTTTCATTCGCACTGGCGTCTTCCTAGACAGTGATCTAGCTATTTCATACAGTGTTCTGAGGTTTCTGTTACCTTCAGTCTATTCTGCGTCTGTCACGAGCGTGCTCTACCTTTCATCAAAAGAAGACATATCCCGATGGTTTTCACTAGCCGACGTCCTTTTTCCGAAATTTGTGATTCTTCTCGACTCCAGTGGTGGATAAGTATTTTTTATGAGCTTTGAGGTTATAGTAGGAGTGATGTTAATTTTTAAGAGTGCCACACCCTCCCTCTGAATTATTACGTGTCATGGCTTTGTCCTTATGCAATTAAGGTAACCAATGTCCTATTATATAAATACCTGGTCTGCATAAACTTTTCGCTCGATGGTAATCTATGAATATTGTGTATAATATTGCCGCTGATCTTACTAACACAACAATACTGTAAAGTGTGAACATTATTCTCTGGTCTGAAGCCTCTTGACGATTGAAACGCCTAAATATTTAATATGAAAACAAAAGATGAACCAAATGGTGCAAGTGACAGAAAAGAACACTTCAAAATCAAAATGATTTTGTTGTCATAGTGTTAGTCTTTTGAACTTTAACACTTTACGTGTTAGATAGGAAGAGAAGCCCAGTTTAATAGGCCTTTTACTTTCTGTTTTTCATATTAAAACTAATGATATGCTTGATTTGCCGTCCTCTATATTTTTTTTCATTTTGAATCTATACTTGTCTGTTGAATTCGAATTCATAAAAAATGTACTGTGTGTCCCAGAATATGTGATACAGATTCAAATTTTAATCACTGTTAAAACGAAAAACGTCAATTAAGACTACCTTTAGTTTCTCTGTTCTAAAGTTACTAAACAGTGATACTCCCACTGACTGAGTACTGGTTTTCAGGAGACCCAAAACACACCCATTTCTGCCTCTTGCGAGACGAGACCGCCATGCGGGACTATCCTGTGGCGCAACCACTCGAGATCTCTCTCCCTCGGTGACGGTGCGTCGGTGGCATAGTGGTTAGGACGCTCGCTGACCATGCATATGGTCCGGGGTTCCATCCCCTGCCACGGAAGCACTCCTTTACCTAGCTGGGCCACTGATAAAGCTGGTAAAGAGGAAACGTTGGGCATGAGGGTAGCAACTCCATCCTGTAAAAATAATCATCACTGCTACAGAAACTTCAAGCCACTAGCTTGAAGCCCTATGTTCCACTGGAGAACATGAAGGAAAAAACATTCACTAACGATAAAAATTTAATTTTTATTCAACCATTATTCATTCTCTAGGTTATCAACATTTTATGTGTTTTCCTTAAGGCCTTAAATAAAGGACTTTTCTCATGGGTATCAGACAAATATGCTACTAACAGTCTCAATAATAATCACTCCACGTTTATTTTGTTTGCGAAATGATTGTTTGTGAATGTATGAGTATTAAGTGGTTCCTTTTCATTCAAATACTGTCCAAACTTTACTATGGTTCTTGCCTCAAGAATACTTAAGGTTCATAATACAGAAATTCACCAGTCAGTAACACCTTTTTAAGAGAGTGAATTCAGTAGATTTTACTTTGTTCTAACAGTTGTGTCAGCACTCTATCAGATATTCTTATTTTTGGGAAATCTGCTTTATTCAAGTCAGTTCACTTGTGTATATTACTATTTATCATTTTATAAGTGATCATTGAACTTGAAATTAAAATCTGGATCACGGCAAGATTTGAATAAGTATCCTCTTAGGCTCCAGCAACTGAGTCACACACCTAACTGCTAACTAAGTTATCCTTTTACTGCAGCCACGCATGATAATGTACCGACCACTCACATGATAGCTGGGAGTTATCTTTGCTGGTTGCAATTAAGTGATGAACTGCCACAGAGAAGGATTAGTGATTTGGCGCATACGGTTCGCACATTCATCTCACCTTCAATTATTATCTACCACACCAACAGAGGTTCGTTACCCTCTAGGGTATCTAAGATAACCGAATCATCCGTTACTGTTCAGTCGAATATAGATAAACAAAGTAGAATAATTAGGTCTTGTTACCTTTAGACACCCACACAGTTTTCATAGAAGCAGATTTTCTATATCCTCCTTCTACTGCGTTTAAACCGTACAGTCTCATCATTATGGTTACAAAACCATGAGTAGTGCTGTCCAACGGTGTCGTATCAATTTAAAGGTATTTACAGTAATAGCAAATAAGTGAAACCTGTTTGTGAAAGTGACGTTAACTAAAATGACCACATAAATTAAGTTTTTCTTCTTAACAGTTTCAAATTCAATAATTTCTTATAAAGTTTATTACTTCCTACATTCCTAAGGAATATTCTGTAGCTACCGAAACCGACTTGTTGTGATCTGAACATGTAGAACAGAATTTTGAGTTCTACTGTATAGCTGTCTGAAACTTTCTTGAGAGATTTACAATCACAAATGTTCCAAAGAGAGCAAATATACGATTATTCTTACATAAATCTGTGATTCTATCCAACAATAATATCATCAAAAACCTCAACAGCGCCTTTAGGTAGCTATGCAGTTCAACTAACTTTCTAAGTACAAAACAAGTACCGTAGAACAAAATTAGTTAACCAAAATTCAACTATAAGAAGTACCTTAGAATCAATTACAATATTCTCAAAAAGGTAGGATTGAAAACTCCGTTCACAGGGATCATACATCAGTGCTTCTCGCGGACAGCCCAATGTTAGAATGACCTTCATTAATTCAAATAGAATCACATCGTAAAACAACACATTATAAACTACAAAGAGTAGCATCCAAATAAGAGACTAAACAAGGATAAAGACAAACAATAAGGATCAAGTCAACATATGACATGCAAATGTCAAATTAATGATATATACAGTCAAGAGGAAAAACGGAAAATAATTACAAGGTTAGTCACAAGATTTCATCATGAGATGACATCGGTTAGAGAACCATTAGAAAACCTTCAGGGACTGCTGGATAGCTGTTTCGACCTGGTCCGGGACTCTTCACACCACACACCCACCACCAGGTGTCCAACCCAGGACCTTCCAGTTACAAGGCGAGCTCGTGGACCACTAAGCCACTGGGACCCGACCCAATAGCCAGACCATGAATTCCAACTTCTGCAGATTCACGAAATAGCCCGACCACTAGCCGGTGTCTTAGGCAAGTATTTGTCTTCACACCCGACCTGCTGTACCCTACTGGTCGCAACTTCCCAATAGAACCCCTAAGTAACCATCTACCTAAATAGGGCCAGTCATTAGTGAGCATCTCATTGATATTCAAGTATCGGTTTTTAGGGATTTTACTGATTGGTTACAGTATTTCATCATGAGCTGACATCGGTTAAAAAGTCATTAAAAACCTGGGTATACTGAACAGCTGTCTCGTCTTTTAGTACGCACCCGCCGGGGTTCGAACCCAGGAACTTCTGGTCACAAGGCAGGCTCTTATACCAAACCAGGACTTGTCTGTCTTTCTCACATTTACTATCTCAGGTTTTCAAATGGTTCTCTAACCGATGCCAGCTCATGGTGAAATCCTGTGACCAGTCAAAGAAATCCCTACAAACCCACACTTGAATTACAAAGTTAGTTAGGACACCTAAATAAGTATAAATATTGGGATTAGGTCGTTCAGGAGGGATATTCTCAACATTTTTTTCCGTTAAACCGGCCATC